ACCTTGCTGGGGTCGTTTGACCCCAGTACTCTTTCCTGCCATGGCAGGGGGTTGGACTCGATCTGCTCAGGTCCCTTCCGACCCTACTATGAAACTATGGCAGAGCCACCCCATGCAGCACAGGGCAGTGGGGGGCAGTGGGGACTGCCACCCCCACTTGGCACCTGCACGGCAGCTGTCACATCGTTGTTGGAGCAGCATGGCTCAGGAGGGCATCACACGCTGTCTGGGAGCTGAGGTGGGTCCAGCAGTCAGCCGGAGCATGGCACCGCTCGGCACCAGCAGCCCAGCTCTCAGACAGTACACGGCGCCCTGCCGAGTTGCACTGCACCCATGCCATGGGACAGTTGCCGTGCAGTTGCCAAGCGGTGGGGGCGATCCCTGCTGCCCCCTGCTGTGTGAGATGGGGAGGCTCTGCTAGGAACCCTCAGAGGCCCTGATCCCCATTGCTGCATCTGGTGAGTTTGGGGCTTTTTTTTTTTTTTTTTTTTAAGTACCAGGAGGCTGGGGCCAGGCACAGCAGCCATGGGGGCTTCTCCTGTAGCTCCCCCTGTCCAGGGAGGGGCAGGCACAGCTGGAGGAGCCGTGGGAGACTCTGCAGCCGCTTGGCTGTGCCTGCCTCTCCCTGGCCGATCTCAACCTCCGAATTGGTGCCAAATCTCCAATTCTGATTCGGCTGAATCAAATGGGAACAGTGACTTGAATCATCAAATTGAATCGCTGTCCTCCGAATTGGCAGAATTGAATATTTCCCTATTCGCACAGGCCTAATTTCTAACCATGTTAAAAGCATTCTGCTAAATCACAAGATCTCTTCAATAACATGATGGGGATCCTAGAGACAGTCTGATGTGTCTTGACTTAGCATAGCTAACAATGTACTGTAGCCTGAAAACCTTTAGTATTAAGGAACAAGCATCATAGTGATGTCACTTGCCAACATCACCTTTGAATTTTCGTGCAATAACAGTGGTCTGGATGTATATAATAAGAACATGAAAAAAGAAACTAAAAAAGAAATCCAAGTATGCCAAGTCCTATAAGATTTTATAATATAACATTGTCAAAAAAATCTATAGTATCAAGTACTGACATCTTGTAGGAGTTACAACAAGTTACTCCCATGGCTTTAGAATGATCTATTACATACCCACTACAAATATGGCATATTTAAGTCTAATCAAAAGAATTGTTCAGGAAGTTTGTAGAGATAAATATATGCAAACTATAAAAAGCAATCAAGACATGCAATGCCAAAGTTAAAGTTGTCTGCTCAATTTTGTTTTTACCTCTTTGCAATTACATATTCTACTAAAATAATTACATGACATGAGCATATATTTTTTTCCTGGGACCTATGTCTCATTTGGCATATTGGTTAAAGAATGCATAGCAAACAGACAGCTATTCAATGCTTACTTTTAGTCCTGTCATGCATGCTCCTCTGCCTCCTTCAGTTTCTCCATCTTACCTGCCTATTTCACTAGATAGCAATCTTCATTCCATGTGTCTTGCTAATGTAAAATAATACACTATTTTGGCAACAATACATGAACCAAGCATGAGAGGGAGAGTTGGGTTATTAAAAAGGTGAATCTGTCAACAAACTGTATGGATGCTTGAACAAGTTACAACATAAGCAGGGACAGCTTGAACTTAGTATCTCTGGCACGCTGTGGTAACTGATTATGCACAAGTTCTTATCCCACTTTCACTGAGGGGGGTAAAACCACCTCACTTTTAATGCAAAGTAGGACAACACACATGGCTATCTAGAACAGAGCAGCTTTTAGACTATAAATTCATGCCCTAGCTTACCTTGATGGGAATGTATTTTTATGCCCATACTCAAAAGCAGTATAAAGACAAAGACAACTATAGCAAAACTGTACTTAAAGTTTTTTTTTTTTTTTTTTTTTTTAACACAGCTAAATTGTTCTATTAAAATATGTTTGACAAATAATCAGGCAAAATATCCGCTACAATACATGGTTTGCAAAGGCAAATATAAAATAAAAACCACTGACTGACCCACAGAGCACAGCATTTGTCCCAGAGTCTCAAACTTCCATTACTGGTAAAAGAAACATGTGGAGAGGCAGATACCTGTATGAGTAGTCATTGCCCGCTAGATGCAAATGGTAAGAAGTATGACAAACTGACTAGTTATCTTACGAAAAATGAAGTGAACATTTATGATAAACTTATTTTCTTGTGTAGATGATGATCATGTATCAGAGCTAAGCACTTTTGCCCTCCAAAACAGGTTACATTTTTTTCAGGATTTTACCACATTTGTCCTGATCCTGCAGAAGAATCCTTAATTTGAATGTGCAGAGTCCCACTGTGTTCAACTGAACTCTGCTCGGGTGCAAAGCTCAGTGCACATTCTTTGATTAAACATAATTACTAAAATGGGTACACTATACTCTAACATTCCTTAGAAGAGAATTCAGTTTTCACAGACTTTGAAAGGGAGAAGAGGTATCACTGCTCTTGAACAGACATCACAGCCTCATCTCCATTAAAAATGAAAGAATTAGGTCACCAGCACAATTCTGTTCAATGGGTTGAGTCCACAGTGTTCTTCTTTGCTCAGGATATTAATCTTTCTAAAAACATTCTTGCACTTCAGTGTAACAATCTAACAGCAGTAATTACTTCTTGTTCTGCCTTATCAGATGTCACAGGTATTAAATGATTTTTTTTCTTTTTGCCATTGGATTGAAGTATTTAAAAGATTTTCTTTGAAAATTGCTCACTGATAACAAACAAGCTCATGTGTTCTGCCTTAACGAGCTAAAACTTCCAAAGTGGATGGCAAAGTGCATGAATGTAGAAATAAACAAGCACCAAGGATGCATGCAAGTCAGGAGATTCTGTATGCTGGCAGCTTTCTGTCCAGTATATTTTTCTTCCAAATGTGGGATTCTGTAGGTAAAATCATTTTACTGTTCTTTGAAAACATGCCCTCTTAGAACATTCTATCCAGTCATAATGCTACACAATAAAATTATTATTTAGGTAATTATTTTCTTTAAGATTCAGGAAGGAAACCATATTGTCAACATACTAGAGGAATTTTATTTGGAAAGGAATGTTGTTGCTTAGGAGAATGCAGAAATTGTACTAGAAAAACAATATTACTCATTATGTGCACGTGCACGCACGTACACACACACACACACACACACACAAATGGTATCTCTCCATCAACTGAAACTTAATCCCCTTTTTACAATTTAGAGGGGAAATGCAGTTTTTAGGGTGGTTAAGCCATGTATCATCAATACCATGAAGCTAACCTATCAGTTGTAATAGCTCCTATAAAATACCAGAGTGATTGCAATAAGCCTAGAAAATGGGCTACAAATCCCAGATATGCTCAAGCAAGCAGTGAACCAAAAATAAAAATAGGTAGATCTGAAACCAAGAACTAGATAGCATTCATCTAATTCATGACCAGAGTTCATAGGCCAAGGTTTTAAAGTGTGTTATTCAGCTCTGAGTGGCAATAATTGAATGGAGACTTCGATTATAAAATACCCCTCTCAAAAAAGGGTAACTTTTCAGTAGACCTTTCTATGCTTTGCACATGTAATACCACTTCCACTTCTTGCCACCATATTATTCTAATTAGGTAAAAAAAATAAAAAAATAAATCAACAAATCCATTAATAATGAAGAACACTAAGCTGAAGGTCTATGTATTTATTATCCTGTTATATAGTAACTATCAGACAGAGAGAAGCCTTAAATAATTATAATGAAATGAGTTCTTCTGGCTTTCTCTTTGCCTCTCATGCTCGGTTTTGAAAAAGAAAGGATTAGATCCCACTTCTATTAGTAATTTGAATGTTTTGTTTTGAAAGCTGCTCTTCTCTCATTCATCCTTTATAGAAGGAGCATTCTAAAAGCTGAATTAAGAGTACAGAAGGAAAGGGGGTGATAATTGGATTTTCCTCTTTCCTTAGGAACTAAAATTGAAGAAACGTATTACCAATGTTTGCACTCAAAAGCTCAAACTAGTCTGAAGCAGCCAGGGGATTGTATGATGGGTATATATGAAGAGTATCAGACCACTAGCCTCATTTTAATTCGTGGCAAAAACCCCCTCAAAAGCATGAAAACTTGAGGGTTAAAGGGACACAGAAGCACCTTGGGGGGAGGTGGGGGAAGAGGCAGAGGAGAGAGACTAGTACATTAATCCTGGATGCCACACAGCCTCACTAGAATACACTTGGTACCTGGTATAGTTGATTAAAATCAGTTTTGACACCTTTGGTATGAAATAAATGAAAAAGCAAAAATTATTTTTGTACATACCTGCATTGAAAAAAACAATACATTCCTTTTTCTTAGAAAGCTCGTAATATAAGCATACAGGAATAATCTGTTTGAATACATATGCTATTCCATTACAATGGCATATTGTAGGAGAGGAGAGTTAGAATTAAAATATCTAAACCAAACAGCCAAAAATTGGGTGTTAAAACTGATTTATAGTTGCATCTTACCATAGCAGTTTGTGCCCTATTAAGAGAATTAACCATTTCAGCAATATATAAACCTTAAAATTTCAATGAAAAGGGAACATGGAAATCTTTTTTATTATTGTAGTTTCCCTAATTAAAAGAATAGTTCAAGTTAGTTTGCAACAATAAAAATCATGCCTACCAATGCTGCCTGGTTTCCTGAAGCCTTTTTGATGTTCCTTGCTGGCATTCCACGAAGATGATTAAGTCTATTCTGGAAACCTACAAATCAGAATTATATCTCTGTTTAGAAAACATTTTTATATATGCATGAACAGGAACCATTTACCAACTTAAGAAAGACAATGGGCATCATAGGTAACTGCTTACAGACATATTCTCAGTACAGTGGTGGATCTACAAGTGCTAATTCTATTCTTTGAATTATGAAAACGATAGGTAAGAATAGAGAAATTATTTTGCTTCTGTACCCAGCACTTTTAAAATGATTACAGGACCACTTTTCCCCAGGGGTCAGCAACCTACAGATCAGGTCTGTGGCACAGAGCTACTGGATCTGGCCTGTGGAACAGAAGCTTGAGTAGCACTTGGTGGCAGGTGGGCAGCAGGGAGAAGTGGCAGCAGCAGCAGACGGGTCCCTGTGCCGGCCCACCCTCAGCCTGAGCTGGGTTGTTTCAGCTTGACATGTAAAATGTCACCGACCCCTGCTTTGTCCCGTTCTGGTGTCCACACTTCAAAAAGAACACGGAAACACCAGAGAAAATGCAAAAGTAAGCTAGAAAATGATTCCAAAGGGCAGGAAAACAAGTAATGTGATGCAAGACTTTAAGTTCAATCTATTCAGCTATTAAAAAAGTCTGAGTTGACTTGAGCATAAGTTTTCCTACATGGAAAAATACCTGCTAAAGAGAGGATATTCAGTCTTGTAGAGTAGGCATGACAAAATCCAACTGCTGAAAGTTGAACTAAGGGCAAATTCAACCTTGAAATAAGATACCTTTCATTGTTAAAGAACTGTAGCAATGTTGGAACAGGTAGCAGAGAATGGTAGGATCCACCCTTGTTTGGAGCCTTTTGAAGATAAGAATCAGGCATCCTTATAAAATCTATGCTGTAACTCAGTTTCTGGGGAAAAAAACCTGTGGCTTGTGTATGCTGCAAGTCAAAGGAGATCAGTGTGGTCTTTTCTGGCCAATGTCCATGAATCAATCTACTTACACAAAATACTAAAATTATTGGAAACCTTGGGAACAAAGAAGTCCAAAGATTCTAGTTGAACATTATTGAACATTTGTATTTATTATTGAACCTACATGAATACCATTTTTTGCTTCTAAAATTATTTTCTTAAGCCATTAAAGCTTTTATTACAAAATGCGCAGAATTATCCTGATGTTTTATACATGAATCCAATGAAGTCATGACAACTCCTTGGAGAATACAGATTTAAAGGATCAGGCAACAAAGGTATCTTTCATATGACTTGACCTTTATAATCATTGTCAGAGTTTTTTGTCCCTTTTTATAGCTAGTCTTGACGATACTCTAAATCAAAAAGTGTATGAACTCTCAACCTGATGACGCCCCAAGATCAAGACTGATAACTTCACACTTTATATCTCAAATACAGGCCCACAGACATCTTTCCATTGAAACTAGGCTATTAAGTAAGCTGCAAAGTATTACTGACCTCTCCTCCCTGAATGGGACATAAGAGGGAAAGCACCAGTTAAGATACTTTCAAAGACTGGATCGGGTAATTCTTTTTCCAATTCTGTAGAGTCCTCCTGTTCCCACCAAGAACTGATTCCTGTGATTCCACATGCGCCGCCAGATTCATTTTCGTGAAACCAGTCACTTTGTTCATCGTCACCTGTGTAAATATAGTAAACCCCACACCAAAAAGGTGGTGGGGAGGTCCAGGTTTATTACTCTCAGAAATCACATTGCATCACAGTAACTTCTTTTGCTTTATAGCAGTACTATAATTACTTGTATATAGCGGCTCTGTTTAGAGAATGGTTTTTAATGGCATGACAAGTACTGCCATCAATAAGAACACATAAAATGTAATGTTTTAGAACCAATTTAGAATTGTGAAAAACAATAATAAACTGGTTAATCCTTTGGTGATAATTGCAGGGAAATCCATTTAAGTTACTGCACTTTCCACATTAACAAAAAACAAGCCTTAATCTCCTGCAGGGAATTAAAAGGTATAAAGCTGTGAAACTAGTTCTTTGCAGCTGATAATGGTATATAATTAGCTTAATTTCATGATTTGTATGGCTTGTAAAAGGGGAAAACAATCATGAACAGATGTGACTAAATGAAATTAATCTGATTAAGTTCATTAAGAAATAAGTTTTGAAAAAGCTGATTTTAAATGAAAAGTGACAGTACCATGTGATATACTGAGGAATACTACATTTGCACTATGAAGCTGGTCAGCTTTAAGAACAATATTTATGGGCACAGTTTTTCAATTAAAATTAGAGAGCGCCTCAATTTCAAAAGCAAGATAAAAAAACCCAATGGAAGTCTTACCTTCAATTTACCTAATAGTATGCAGAAATAAATACTCACAAACATTTAAAGATGAGTACTATACCAGAAAAAACAAACCTGTGTTCTGTATAAAAGGTAGCAAAAGAGACAATCATGAAAGAAAATGGAGTACTGTCTTTTAAGGAAAACAAAAGATTGAGATGATCATTCTTTCCTAAACTGCTGATTCTGCAATGACTGCTCAGTTTAGTAGGAACACTTAAATCTGACAGTATCCCTTTAAGAGGTCTCTAACTGTCCTCCTTTCATCCTTGAGTTTTAAAAGTGAGCTATCCAGCCTTGATGGTCCTGATATTGTATTGTCTGTGTTATATCACTGAATTTGTCCACAACTATTTTCATGTATAAAACTTTTTTCAACTTGGTGTTTCACATTTTAAAGATGTAAGACTTCGCAAAAACAGACATTACATAAATGTATGTTAAATAGGATTCAATAAGTGAGGGCTTGAAACATTCATTTATGCTAAACTTCACTGTCACTCAGACAAGAGCAAGAGCACATCACCTGGATAACCCAAGCAGACTCTTGTGGGAGAAAAAAAAAAACAGGTATATAACTCCAAATAAATTACTAAATAAAAATTCATATGAGACAATTCCACAGTATTAAGCTAGCACAGTACTAGAGGGCTGAAAATGTTAGATCTGGTCTGAATGACTTCAATGTTACTGGCACATTTAAAAGAATCAAAGCCCCTCACTGGACCTTCATGAATTATATGAATTATAGATATAGATGAATTATAGCCTTAAAAATCCTTAGTGGTCACAACTAACATCCAAATTGATATACTGTAGAACAACCTTTTCAGACTTAAGGCACCCTTAATAGACTCAACGCATCTCTCAGAAAATGTCAGCTCTTAGCTTTCACTTTTTTTTTTTTTTTTCCAACTACAGAAAAATAATAAAACAACTCTCATATTGTGAAGAACTCAGAAAGACCACAACAGATCAGAATGTTTTAATGCTATGAGTTCCTATTTGAAACCTCTGGGTTTATCTTGAAAATGATGTCTGAACACCTAACAGTGCTAACATTGTATGACATCCTGCAGCAATCCTGAAAGGTTCTCAAGGTACCCCAGGAAGCTGTAACACCCTGGCTGAGAATCACTATTTTACAAAGAGGCAAGGAGAAAAGAGAAACCTGTAAATGATTAGTAATGAAGGGGAGAGGAGGGGGGAAGGGGCAACTGCAAAACTTATTTATACTACAGTATAAATTTGTTGGGCATATTTCAGGTCATTTCCAATTCACATACTTTTCCATATTTATGCTGCTGTGACTTTTTACGAAGGCTGTCCCCTATTAATTCTATCCTTGCCAAGGTCAAGGTCAGTTTCTATCTATAAAGGCAGTCCCTGATGTTCCACAATAGAATTAGAGCAACAATAGTGGGAGAGTGCATACAAACAATTCTGCTAATCATGAATTACATTTCAATTACCTATGTTTTTCATTTAGTTATCACAAACTTTTGCCCAAGTGAAATTTAGTCAACTACTAGGTCATGGAAAGTCAAATGTAGGCTGCTAGCAGGGATTTATTTATCAAGAAATGAAATTTGTGAACAGAATGAGGACCAAGTGATACTAAAACAAATTACTTGTAATTAATGGGCTTTTTTACACGTGCTGTGGGACACAGTGCCAGGAGCTTTAATTAGCTCAGCGCACTAATTAAAAGCGCCCATGTGTCATGTGTATTAGTGTCCCTGTGCATCCTTGCGCAGAAAAAATGGCAGTGTGGAGCTTTGAACAAAAGTTCACTGAATGTGTTTTATTTCAAAGCGCTGTTTTTTCAGCACGGAGACATGCTGGGATGCTGATACACATGATGTGGAAGGCTGCCAGAGCATGTCAATTTTTGTGCAGACTCAATTAATTGAGCCTGCTCCAACACGCAAGCTACACACATGTGTATAGGAGCCCAATGAGTCCACCATCTCAAATGCCCAGGCATCAGAATCTATTATTTTTTAAGTTAAATGTCTGACAGACAGACAAGCAGATTTGCTTGTATCCAGACATGACTGAAAAAAAACAACAAATTTATGAGATGGCAAAGTTGTTTGTAAGTTATCTTTAGCTATCTCTTACCCAGTCACATCTGCTGTGATCATAGCAGGTACTGTACATTTTCATCAGGCTAACAGTAAATAGACTTACTGCTGGTGCTGTTTAGTTTAAAGAACACTTCTATTAAAGATCTCAAAAAGAAGTTTAGCTTAATAATTCCCATTTTACATAGGGGGAAAACGGAAGTACCAAAAGTTTGAGTAATTTGTTCAAAGTTATATAGAAACTAAAAAAAAAAAAGAGTGAGCACCAAGCCAGTAGGAAGAGCTATTACAGGGTTTATTTGTCTACCTACTCCCTATCTATGGTTTTGACTCTTTAATCATAATTTCATGTAAATGAATATTTAGGTTATAATCAAAGGCAATTCTGTTCTGTTCTTTTAAGGACCTACTGAGGTCCTTTCCTTGAGTCCACCTGGTCTGTATGTTTTTAGTCTATAAAAGCAGTTACACACATCCGCACCTCCATTCTATTTTAGACACAAGGTAAAAGTAAACAGAACATTACAATGATGCTGTTTTGCTGATTCTGTTTTGAGAGAGACCAACAACGTGACTATACGATTTTTTTAAATCTTCTGAGACAAAACTGGACATCTCGATTAGTAGGAAGAGCAAATACCAGCTTCAGAAACTACTATTCACACAAATTAACATAATCTGTTCATTACTGCTTATTAAAAGAGTTCTCAATAGCCAGTTCAAGTAGTCTGGGACAACAGATTGTATTGGAAAAGACAAATTTTGTCAGAAATTTAAGGGCTGGGGTGTATATGAACTACTGAATAACTCCAGGGTTCTTTCCACCTAATGTATGTCTGATATATTACCTGAAATGCTGAAACTTTTATTTGCTGATGGAAATACTGAACACCGTCAATTCATTTTTCACTTGTTTGAAATGGTTTAGGTTGAAAAGACTCAGACCAAGATGGGTTTCTGAAAATATTGTCACAGTATGAACTGCCTGAGAAATATTCCTCTTCGATTCATTGATGTCTGATGACATGCTTCAATGTTGTCTCACTTTACATATAAAGTCTTGACTGGGGGAAGTGGAATTATCTGCTTGAAATTATGTGGTGAATAGATCTAAGTGACATTTATCAGCTGCCTCTGTCACATATTTTTAAAAATCTAAGTTTGCTATAGAGGAACTATTTGTCCTTTCTGGTATACAATTACTCTTTGGAATCAGAGAGCTTGTATGATTAGGGCACACTTCTACAGCGGTGTGGATACAGTGGCTAGCTAAGAAAATGAACCTGATAGACATAAAAAAAAGAATAAGACTCCCAGTCCAGTACTTAAGCACCTCATTGTAGACCTGCTACCACCAACTGGGGGTTTAATCAACACTACTGAACTCAAGATAAATCCAAAATGATTACCCAGGATAGGTCTACTCAATATTTTTCCCCAATTGTTGTGATCTAATTAAATCAGGCATGCTAGTGAAACTATTAACTATTTGGTTAAATTGTAATACAGCTGGGTTCAGTATCACTTGGTTATTTCAGTGATAAAAGAATTAAATAGAACTTTTATAATCTAACATTGGATTGAATAATAATATAATCTTGCATTTAAAATATACGTGTCTATCCATATCAATAACCTCCATTAAAACATTTGGGTCACAATGCTCTGAATAGCTTTAATCCCAAAAAGAAAACAATGTCTGAAATTTTTTCCTTGGCAGCTTTTTCTACTTGCATGGCCACACTTTTTCACTTCCCTGAATGGGTACTTAATTCTTGTTTTTCCTTGGCATTTTATGCCTGATATGCTTGATTCTCACTTAGTTGTTTCTAGCTCTTCTGGAATGCTGTCCTCAGATGACTGGTGAAGCCTCCTGTATGAGCTACTTGTGTAGATGCAGGGAGTCTTGCTGGTTTTTGCTGCATGAACACTGAACCATCTATTTGCTGATTCCAAATATAATCTCTCACAAAGTAATAGACACCTGAATCCTAGCTCTTGTTATATACAAATACAAATCTTCCTGATCTATACTGCTTGAATCTGGAATCAATGGTGCAGTTTACTCTCTCTACTAGGGGTGCACCGATAAAGATTTTGCGGGCCAATACCGACAGCCGATATTTAAGGCGGCATATCGGCCAATACTGATATTATATCCAATACAGCTGCCATCATGTGGTCAGTTCAGTGTGGTAGGAGGGGAAGAGGGAAGGAAAAGTGTGTGGGGGTGGCA